GCAAGCAACGCTGTCAATACATTGCCATGGCCTTCTAGCCTTCAAACTGTGACAAAATAAATGGTTGTGTTTAAGCCACCCAGTCTGTGGTACCTTGTTATGGCAGCCTTAGCAAACAAATATGATAATGTAAAACAATCTCATGTAGTGAAAAAAGAGTGCTGATCTCAAACATTTAATAGATAAAGTATTTTAGGATTTTGGGTTTGGAATGTTTTACATGGACTAACTTGAGCTGTCCCGTGAGACTTTTTCAGAGGATCAGTGGATTATCTCTATTAATTAATGTTTTGAATTCAAGTGAGATGATAGCAGAAAGGAAGTCAATGTTTGTGAAACCAGGTAGAAATGAATGTTGCAAATGTGGAATGTTCCTGAAATCCAAGTTTCTTGGAAAATAAGAGAATATCTTTGATCTTGGACATGACGTTTTAAAACATAATAGAAGAGATTAATTTACATGTTAGGCAGAAAGCTGAGCATAGGTAAAAAGCTTTCTCATCTGCAGGATATCATAGGCAGCATTAAACAAATATTCAGTTATTCCTAAAAACAAGAATGAGAACTCTCTGTGGACTGGAAAAAAAAAGGCACTCCAAAAAGATGGCTTTAGATGGGCAGCCCTCAATGCCAGGCCAAATTGGATGCTTCTGCTAAAAGGCTGGGGCTGATGTCATTGCCCAAAGGCCACTCTTGCAGAAAGGTCACTGTACCGGAAACTATCACAACTTAGAACACATGATAGAGAAACCTTCTCCATGTGAACAAGCAGAAGATTCTTTTGGCCAGCTCTAATTTTAGCTGCACATTTTTGTGCAGTTTCCATGCATGTCTGGATACACACCGACCAGGTCCTAACTTTTCTGTTTTATGCCTCAGGCCTGTCTCCAAAGCAGAGGGAGCCCCTTTGGCCCATAGGTAATTACAGTTAAAAGTGTGAAGGAGTCAGCATTCCCGGGGGCAACCCTCAACCCATGGGGGAATTGGAACTCTTCAGCAAACAGTTCTGGAAGGCATTCCACGTGCTTCTCAGGTCTTAAGGGAACTGATAAATCTCCAAATACTGCCTTAAATGGGCTTTTCCTGATTCTGTGTCTCACCCTCATTGCTCTTTTGCTTGTGTTTCTTAGAATTCCTTTCAAATAAACTGCTTATGACCACTCTTGCAAGCTCTATCTTGAAGGAACCTAAACTAAAATAGTGAACAACCAAGAATTACCCAATATATGAGGATGGCTAAAGCAATGAAAGAGAGACCACCAAAACAATAAATAGAAAAAAAATTATACCCCAGGTATGATAATTAATAGAAGCAATCCAAAAATGATTTTAAGAATACATAATATCATCATAGAGATAAAGGAGATTTTTTTTGTAAACATGATTATTAAACTACAAACAGTACTCAAGAAACAAGATCTGGCTGCCTACAACTTCTTAGAAATAAAAAACATAATTGTTGAAATAAAAAATTCTTGGTGGGTTGAGTAGCATACTGGATATACCTGATGAATGAATCAGTGGGTTTAAGTGAGGGAACGTGTTTCAGAGATATGACGGGGAGATCTGAGGGTTTCACCATCCATCAAGTAGGACTTGCAGGAAAAATAGAATTGGGAGAGTAGAGAGGAATCAAAATAGGAGGCAACAATTCAGAGCATTTCTATAACTAAAGAGAGAATTCAAATTGAGAATCCACTAAGTGGCATGCAGAGTGAAAAATAAATAAGAAAATGCACGCATGTAAGAATGCATATTGCAGGGACATAATTCTGAGCAGCTTGGTTTGACTCACTTTAATATTATTTATGTTTTTATGGTTGGATAGTTTTATATGATATGGATTTTGCTTTTACTTTTGAGAAAGGACTGTAGTTATCAATAGAAGCAAACTGAAGTGGACATTTAAATAATGATGAGGTAAATTCAAATTTTAAGGGCAATCTGATTAATTCTGGCTAGGAAAAGTCATTCCCATATACTCTTTATTAAAAAATTAGACAATAAAAATATCTGTGTATGAATAGATCTGATCCTCCAAATGGGAGAAAATACCTTTCAGAAAGATCATGGCTGATCATCTTACTGATTAATTTAATCATAGCAAGATTAATGAAGCCACTTCAGTAGAGCAGATTGGCCATTGCAGTCCACACTACTGGTAATATGACTTGCTTCCCGTATCAATCTCATTTTCCCTACTCAATCTGTAAAATGAGAGCAATAGTCTACACCACCAGCATTCAACAGCTTATCTTCGGGTGCCAATTTATTACACGGTGGCTGTGTCTACATGTTATAAAAAACAATTGTTCAATCATAAGGAGAAAACAAACATACAGGCTAGGTTATGTAGACAAAACATTTGTTTGTGTTACTTTTTCTAACCCTTTGATTGGTTGATTTGATATTGTACAGACACAGACTGCACTTGGCATCGAGGTGCTGTTGTTTCCATTGCGGCTGCTTTGCAGGCTGCCTTCCCTTTGTGTAGAGGGATCTGTTTACTTTAGTGGTCTTTTGACACCCTGGCAGCATTGTCTCTTTCTCATAGCTAAGTACTGAGGAAGGGCAAATCCATATGCTCCCCACAGTCTAAACCTCTTTTGCCATGTTAAGCAGCTCCTGCCTGAATCTAGAGGGAGGCAGCCCATGAGCGCTGGAGAGCAGGACTACCAGAGGTAGTGCACACACTCTATCATATCTTAAGGGAAGCAGCAGTTTGTCGGTGATGTTTGATGGCTTTCTTTACCTCAACACAACAATCTCTGGGGCCCACTATGGTCTCTCAACATGTCCCTATTTAACTACACTCCTTACTTTTAGCTGCTTGGGCTCAGCTAACCAAGTGGTGGCAGAGATGTGTATAGGCGATCTTAAATCATTCTGATTTTCCCTAGTCCCCTCGCAGTTCTCGGATTGAACATATGGCAATGTTATGTCTATTTGAAAAAGCCTTTGCATCATATGTTTATACAACTGCTCACTATCCCAAGACAAAAATTCTTTTCCTGTTATTGCCCATTTGCTGACTAAAGAAATTATCCTCTTTATGTATTCTGGTACTTTACCTTGATATCTTACATGTTTAATTATGTAGCCCTCAGTCCGTAATCTATGTCTTCATCATCTAAGGCCATTTTGCTTCTGTGAATCCAAAGCTTAATGATACGTTGCGAGATAAAGAAGAGATATTTTAAAAATTTTTTACTATTACTCTTTCTAAGATTTTAATTATAGAATCACAAGTAACAGAATCAATAGGAAAAGACCAGTAAATTCTCAGATGTTTCTTATTCATTCCTCAATTATGTTGTGCTGCTAAAATAATACCTGAAACCTTTCCTACCAACAAATCCAACTTGTATTTCAGTAACATATAAGATGACGGGACTAGTTTTATTTACCCTACAAATACAGTGACCCCAAATGCTGCAGGGTGGAATGCTGTCATAATCTGATGCATGTCAGCACCAATCTCCATGGAAAAGAAGGCAAGAAGAGCCCTAGTAAATCCCATGGAACCCAATTTTTAGACAGCAAAACTGAGCATAGCAAAACAATAGTCAGACTCAATACTCACAGAGGTTTCAGAATCTAATATGGGTCATAGAATAGCCATGAGGTGTGTTGCAGATTTCTTACAAATGAGATTTACAACTTGCTCTCTTCACCACAGCTTAAAGCCCTTCAACTCCTCCTAACTATAAGATTTCTTCTTGGACTCCATCTATACTATATTCCTTATTCATGTCATATTTGAGTGAGTGATTCCAACCTGCATTATTTCCTGTTTCTCTGATACAGATTTGCCTCTGCTGCACTAATGGAATCAACTGTCAGGTCAAGCCCATAATTTTCATGAGAGCTCCTCAGAAGTGTTGGAATGGGGACAATGCATCATTTAAATTTTTTTTTTCATTTAAATATTTTAAGGTTAAAATTCAACAATTACCTCACCATTCAGCACTATGTGAATGTCTTGCTGAGGTCTCAAATTGAAGTGTATTTGAAATGTGGAGGTTAGGCTGGTTGACCTGGGTACGTCTTAGAAGTTCTATTACATTAGCTAATGCAATACAAAACCTAAGCTGAATTGGGCATCGTGTTTTGCACGTAAACCAAAGGTATCAAATTTGTGGCTTTTGCTAGCTTTGCAGAAAAGATGTTTTTAAAATACATTTCTTGATAGTACAAAACTAGCAAAAGCCACAAATGGAATGGGTTTGCTTCTCCTGGAAAACCTTTTGCATGCTGAAGCTCTGGTCAGCCTCTGCAGTACTTTGCGGTTTGTAGCTACAATCTCAGAACAAGTCTGTTATCATCTTAGCTCCTCAAGAAGCAAAACGAGTTCCACACAGACCATTGGAGTGGTCTATGGAATACTGCCCATCTCCTTGGCAGGCTAATGTTTCTCATCAGTTTCCAACTTCAAAACAGTAGGACCAATAATCACACTCAGGAAAGCAATTTGTGGCCCCACATGAATAGACAATGGGAGTGTCAATCATCGATGTGTCTCAAGATGGATTCTATACTAAAATGAAATGGATAAGTGAAGCTAAAAGAGAAATGTGGGAGCTACAAGAGGCAATGTCCATACTATTTGAAAGTTCACATAGCATCAGTTATACTCTTGGACAAAATTGCATAAAGTATATAATAGGATAGGACAACCTATCTTTCTATTTTCTGCCTTCTTGGCTACCTATTATCTGTCTATCTGTTATGAAGACAGCAAACCAACTATACAACAATCCTGCAAGATCTGCACATGTACCCCAGAACTTAAAGTACAATTCAAAAAAGAAAAATAAATAAAGAGATTCTAGATTATCCATGCACTTATCCAAAAAGTAGAGGTAGACATAGAAAAAAGGGTTGTTTCCTTCTATTCCATGCTATCAAAAGCTATTGTCTAAAATCTTAGGACTTATCTTTGATTACACAGCACTGTTGGCTTTTGATCTAACTGTTGGTTTTCACTTTCAATTTTCCAGTCTGAGGATCCTGTCTTTCTACTTGGTGTTGCTGGTAATGATTTCAGTGTTCATTAGGAGAACTGGCACTGTGAATCAGAAACAAAGAGAAGAAACACAGGTAAGTTAATTTGGTTCTTTCTTTAGCTTGTACCCTGATAAGAGATAACATCAGGAAGGAACCAAAACTCTTAGTTAAAATGTGGTCTTTAGGCCGGGCGCAGTGGCTCACGCCTTTAATCCCAGCACTTTGGGTGGCTGAGGCGGGCGGATCATGAGGTCAAGAGATCAAGACCGTCCTGGCCAACATGGTGAAACCCTGTATCTACTAAAAATACAAAAAAATTAGCTGGGCATGGTGGCACGTGCCTGTAGTCCCAGCTACTCGGGAGGCTGAGGCAGGAGAATTGCTTGAACCCGTGCGGCGGAGGTTGCAGTGAGCCGAGGTTGCGCCAGTGCACTCCAGCCTGGCACCTGGTGACGGAGTGAAACTCTGTCTTTAAAAAAAAAAAAAAAGGCCTTTAAATTGTCTGTGGATTTATTATGTTATGTACCTCTAGACAATTGATCAATTTAACTGTGAACCTCTACATGATTGATTGAAAATTAGCCATGTGTACAGCACACAGGCATTTATCACATTCTAGTCTCTGTGTGTTATTGAAGACAGTAATCAAAGGATTCCTTAAATACTGTAAAATTACACTTGTGATAAAGGCTAGCACGGGAAAGAGCATGCTACTAGTCACATATAATATAGGACCATCAGGGAAGGCTTCCTTGAAGAGGGGATTACTGGGCTGGGATCCGCTGGAAGAGTAGAAGTTAACTGGACACAGCTGAGGGTAGATGTTCTGAACAGCAGGAAAAACGTGTGCAATCGCCTTGTGGTATGTGGATGGTTGGTGCACTTGAGAAACACAAAGATAGAAGCAACACTTCTAAGCAGTATTTTTGCTTCTGGAAAACCATTGTATTGACACAGAGTGCAAAACTTTCCTTTCCACAAATGTTAATTTAATATTCATATAAAAACTAGAAATAGAGGCTCAAAAAAGCTGCTTGATTTGCATGGCTAATTGTGTCACAAAGAGCTAATGGAGAAAATTCAGTATGCTTTCTTCCCATTCTCTCTCATTATGAATGATTGCAAACATCAGAGAAACAACAACAAAACCTCAGTATACAATAGTTTAGTTCAATATGGAATAGTCTATTTTACCTGTAATGGGACTGATATTTTCCAACCAATTCCCAGAATTGGTTTTGAACTTCTATCACTTCAAAAACACAAAACCTTTGTGTCAGTTGCAAGCACTGGAGAAAGTACCTTACTTAGGGATACTTACTTAGGGATTAGAGCAAATCTGACTTTCACTCTAGGGGCCAGGTATACAAATCAAGAAAATCAGGGGTGGACGGGGGTGCAAAACCTGGGAAATATGATCAGGCTCCATCCTTAGAAATATGCAAGTGTGGGAAAGCAGAATTGCTACTACTTAACCGCAGTGTCAAAGCATGCTCAGGAAAAAGATGGTGCTGTGGATTAGAGTTTCACCAGACTCTTTCTGGGTGGCATATCCTGGAGAATCCCATCTGGGCATCTGAAAGTTTTCCAGATTGGGGCCACCCTTTGGTCATTATCAGCCAAAGCTGCTTTTGTTAAGAAAGTTTTCATACCAGGTTGCTGCAACGTGTCTGTCACAGCCAAAGCAGAGAATCTCTGACAACTACTGATCATTTGTATCAAACTAATGAGGTTGTCCTTTTTCTGAACATGAGGTCTGGATTGTATGCTGACAGTGGATATTAAGCTTTGCTTTCTACCCCCCTCTCCCAAAGCTTGTATAATTGATGATTCTTCCTGCCAGGATAAGTTTTTGAGCACAAAATTCATTTTAATAGCAGTTTTTGCTTATTAAACAAACCACTGTAGGTTTTTTTTTCCTGTTTACTTCTACAGACAAGAATCACAGAAACACAAAACAAATCAGCCTAATTTTGCCGTGAACTTTGCTTTTGACATCTTTCTATTTTTCAAAGAGAATAAATGTGCTGTAACTTGACTGCTCTCTTTCAGACTGAAGAAGCAGAGAGCTATTTTTGAAGCTCCTTAAATCAGAAGCTATGGCTTTTTACAAAAGCAGCCCCACAGGACATCAAGACTGTGTTTGGAAACATATGTGATAAAAAAAAAAAAAAGAAACAAACTGTAAAAATGAACTGGGATCACCTTGTAATTGGGCAGAGAGGGCTTCCTGCTGCTCTGTGTTTTTATAAAAGCCATTGCTTCTGCATTTCTCACCTTTTGCTGCAAGAGATTGTACACAAAATCTCCAATTGCCAAGCAAATCACAGCCGAGAGTCAGACCCCCTGTTTGGAAGAGACCTTTCTCCCCTCAATATTCTCTTTTATTGATGTTATGGAAAGAAATTAGAGAGACACAAAGAATCAACGGTGGTTACAGTGAAAACGCAAGTCTTATACAAAGAACCCTGAGCAAGGTCTTACAATATGCCAACATCCACATGGGGATGACATTAGACAGCTCAATGAAGTTTAATTGTTTTACTGCTGTGCTTCCAGGCAGACACCTTGCATGCCAATGGAGGATAAGCGCCTTGTAAACAAAGTGCATTATTATTATTTTATTTAATATTGCTAAATAGCTGTTAGCTCCCCAGCCAGTGAAGGAGCAGGAAAGACTGGAGTTTGGTGTGTTTTGAAAATGACACCTCGTCTCAGGATCTACCTGTGACTCTTAAGGTGATAACTTCAAGAAGTGTTCTTCCTCCTCTTTAATTTGTCCTCCTATGAAGTGGGACCAAAATTAATTGCTTTTAGAGCATAGAGCAGCACAATTCATTGAACATGTATATAGTTACTTACCACAAATAATATTGATTGGCTGCCCACTGTTTCAATGGTTCTAGGTTAAGAGCAATATAAATTTTTTTTTACATGCAAAGAAAGCATGATTAATTTTTAAGGTGTTTGCCAATCTTTGAGCCATGTTTTTAAGAACAATTTTAGGTCCAGTTTTGCAGGTGTGCAGGCACAAAACATTATTAGCATGAAAATCTGTGGGAGTCTTAGAACCAGAATTTTTGGGAGTGAATATCATGTGAGATGGCTCAATCAGAAAAGCTAATATTTCATGTGCTGGGATCGTCTATCCAGTTATAATTTCTCATCACACACATATACTAGCTAAGAGGCAAAAGGGCGGAAACTTCCTTCTTAAAAAAATTCTTTTTGAAAAATTTATTGTACAAAAGCATGTGTATTGATACAAACAAGAGAAAATGAAATAGGCACAGGGATATGAATAAATACTGAAATTTATACAGATGTAACATGTTCTTTCCACTAAAATGAATACATTGATAAGTTTGACTCTCTTCTTTTGAGACTAACAGTTTTGGCCTGAATATGAGCCTAAGGAAGGTAGGTACATTTTACATTGGATGTTCCAGGCATATTTCACATGAGCAAGGAATAAGTTGCAAAATTATGGGGCAGGGAGATTATATCCTACTTTTTTTTTAGCAGGTTTTAAAATTTACTGTGTCTTTCCCACACTTAAGAAATACCTTCTTATGATACTGGTGAATTACTGTTTTCATCCATATGTTTATGGCATGTAAACTTCCTTGTATGGATGGATAGACAGGAACGTTATTCTTGGAATTTGTTGACAACATGGGTACGATTTTTCACTTCACCTGTTCTCAGGGAATTCTGCAAAGCCATAAATTCAATGTTAGCTGCCTAGACTGTTCCTAGAAGGAAAAAAAAAATTAACACAGTGAAATGCTTGATTCCAAAGAAATCTTAGTGGTATATTGGAAAATGAGTACATTTTGGCTGCACTCTTGAAGTCAGATCTATTGTTGATGATGGAAACAAAATCAGTGCTGTATCTATTGCTTTGCAGTTTCATGTGCATAAATGTGTAGTGGACCAGGTAAGACTATAGGCTATAATGAGAAAAAAAAATCCTGCACACAAAGGAATAGAAGTGGTAGAGAAAAAGAGGCTTGATAAAAAATAGGGCCAAAGGCCCTCCTCTGCATGCTCACTGAAGCACTTCCTAGGCAAATAAAAGTGCTGTGTTTAGTGGTCCCATTCAACTGCCTTTGGCTCTGTTCACCAGAAATTAATCATAGAAACTTTTTCTGCTTGCTTCATGTCTGGTTAATGTTGAGTTCTCTTCTTGTAACGTATACGCACCATCTTGAATACCCTTAGGAGTTAATTTCTTTTTTATTCTGACATACTAAAAATGTATCTGAGATAATTTTACAGGAAATGATTCTTAGTTCCAGGACTCAATGTAGTGCCCTGTGCTTGTTCTTCTGATCATCAGATGGATCTCTTTCTGGTACCTCTATGCCACACTCTTTCAGTTCTGGCAAATACAACGATGAAAGAAACCTGGGGATTCTGCCCTTGAGTTCATAGTTCAATGGAAGTCACAGTCACAGAACATGTTATTATACCATGTGCTATATCCTGAGTATTCAGAGTATGTACAGGGCAGGTGACTGGCTGCCTTGGAGAAGCTGGGGAGGCTTCAGGGAGGACAAGTATTTTGGGTTGAGTCTCTGCTACAGATTCAAGGCCTGTCTCAAGGACCAAATGCCAGCACCTGCACGTCTTTCTTTCTGAGATTCTGAGCCAAATGGAGCAAAAGTTCCTCTTAATACAGAACTTGTGAAAATGGGCTTGGTGCTGTGGTTCATGCCTGTGATCCTAGCACTTTGGGAGGCTGAGATGAGAGGGTTGCTTGAGACCACGAGAGTGGGACTAGCCTGACCAACATAGCAAGACGCTCTATCTATTAAAAAAAAAAAAGAAAAGAAGGAAAGAAAAATTAGCTGGAAATGGTGGCAGATACCTGTAGCCCCAGGTACTCAGGAGCCTGAGCCAGGAGCATCACTTGAGCCTGGGAGGTCCAAGATTGTGCCAATGCATTCCAACCTGGGTGAGAGTGAGATCCTGTGTTTTGTTTGTTTGTTTTTTAATGTGTGAAAAAGGAAAGGAGGGAAAAAAAAAACAAGAGAGGTCTCATTTTACACACACAAAAAACTCAGAGATGAACAAAAGAGATCCTGTGGACATTTGGTACTTCCTATTCAGATCACCTGCTGCTGCCTATTCTGTCTTTGAGGAGGAATAGGTCAGGAGTGAAGAGAAGGTACAGGACCATTTGAAAAGTGTCTGCAGGAATGTGCTGGGTATTTTCCCTTTGTGTGAACAGAGGCAGGAAAGTGAAGAGATGAGG